CTATATTCTATTGGGAATTTTAAAAACACAGGAATAATATGTGCTTTACTAGACCAAAAACATACAACAAAGCACAACACTATAATAAAAAAGCATCATTCTGTGTTTGCACATTAAATCCTTTTTAAATTTTTGAGTTTTCTTTAGGTTTCAAAACATGTAAACACCATTTTATTTGTACACAGCATGGTCACAAGTAAATAGACACCACCTTTTCAGAAAAAATGAAATTTTTCAGTCATATTCACATGAATTGATATATTTATAATTTAATTAATATCTAGTAGATCTTCCTTTCGTTTCGTGGGGTTCATTGATCTTTTGGGGCATCGTGAAAATCATCTCATCAATTTTAGATTGTGGGATTTTCACCCACTCTTGCTTCAAAAATCGCTCTTTGAAGTTGGTTTTTTTGTTGTTTCTTGACTTGCCGGTCGAGCATGGCCCAGCGGTTTTTGATGGGGTTCATGTCAGGAGATTGGCTCGGCCAGGGCAATTTCTGGATACCATTTTCTTCCTGCCACTTTTGGGTGTTTCTAGCAGTGTGACATGGTGCTCCATCTTCCTTGAACAACGTTGTGTTCTTGTCCACGAAACCCGAGGAATAAAGTGGCAAGAGTCCTTCCTCCAATATTTTGACGTATTTCGCAAAATTTATGTTCCCAACGCACTCCACTAAGCTCGATCTCCCACCAACCCAAACCATCACGCTGAAATCACCATGCTTCACAATTGGCTGCAATCTGTTGAGCCAAAACTCTTGGTGAGGCATTCTTCAGACCCATATCCTTCCACTGTCCGAAAATTGAGCGAATCTTGATTCATCTGAGAACAATACGGTCTTCCAAAAGTCCAGAGGCTTGGTCATAATATCACTTGCCCACTTCTTTCGTCTGACTATGTTGGCAGGTCTTAATAAGGGCTTCCGTCTAGCTGCTCTGCAACAATAACCCAGTCTGTGGAGAATCCGTTGAACAGATTTCGGGCTCATCCCACCAACTTTGGCCACTTCTGCAGTCATTAATCTAGGATCCATTTCGATGCTCCTCTTGACAGCCCTTTTTGTCCTCTCCGATGGACCCAGACGCTGCTCAGTTGTTTCCTTGCCGTGTTTCCTGAACTGCACAATGATTCTGTTGACTGTCGAAAGTGGGATTCCCAAATTCTGCGAAATTTGCCGCTGACTTATTCCACCATCTCCTTGACCAACTATCCTTCCTCTAACAAAGTCTGACAATTCGAGAGAACCTTGAGTTCTAGGCATGTTGTAGCACAAGATAATTAGTATGCGGACCATTTTCATTTATATAGTGCTCTGTGAACACAAATTAGTTACCATAAATCAGTTAAATGACGAAAAATTAGGTGTCTATTTACTTGTGACCACTCAGTGTACTTGTGTAAATAATGAATTGATGAAATGTAATAAATTGCATCTTTTCAAACATATTCTCATTTAATATTTCTTGTAACTATGTCACACTATATTCTTATAAACTCTGTGCATAGTTTTAAAAGGCCATTAATGCTCGTAACATATTATTTATATTAGAGTACCTTTTTTCATTTTTTTAGTGATCATTGCTCGTCTTAAAAACTTATATAATTCTGATGTGCTTGCATATTTACCAAAGTGATGATGATTTTCCACAGTTTTCATGGATCTACATGACAAATCTTTTATTTATTTTAGATTCACACAATTGTTGCAAACATTCTTATACTCTTCCAATAGATGTCTACTTATAGTAAAAAATTCATACCACAGTGACTATTAATTGTTTTCTCTGCATGCCATCTGGTCATATTTCTGTACATAAATAATTTTTCTGAAACTACTTAACAGGTCACAGCATATTCTCACAAAGATGACAACAACAAATGGCTAATCAAAAAATTTGATGACCAGCCTCAGCCATCAAGTAATAAAATTGAATTAATAAAAAATGGTGATCTGGTCCGATTGGAGCACCTGGTGTAAGTACTATTATAGATGTAAAGCTAGAATAGCAGTTTTGTATATTAAGATGTTTGCTTTCTCTTGCAAAACGTTTTACAAGACACTAAATATCTTACATACATTAATATTTACATATATTGTTGAGTTATATAATTAACTTTTGATGTGGTCTTCCAACAAAGTTTTCTGTCTCTAGATGGTTTTCCTTCTTAATTGTTATTATTTTTAATAAATAGTGAAACAATATTATGGATATTGTTCAATGTGAAGATATGTTTTGTGGATGTTAAGCCATTTTTGTATGTACTTTAATATGGGACCACTAGTAATTAGCATTTTTATTCAGTCTCATATTGAGGTCTTCTGTACCCTCATTTGTGTCAACTGCTTTGGATAGTATTAGTTAGAAGCCTATGTGGGCCTTTATCAAAATTTTGCTGCACTGATGCCAGTATTCTTGAATCACAAAGATGATATACATCTAACTGATAAAGATTTGAAAAAACAAAACAAATGGCATTGGGTGTGAAGAAAGAGATCCACTAACTAGGCCATATGGTCAGTGGGTATAAGAAAACTGATGTTCTTGCCACTATGTTTGCCAGTTCTTACCCTTTTCAGTTGTAGGTACTTTGCTGTGCCCCCATCCCTCAGTACTTTTAAAGAAGTGACTAAAAAGGTTGAAGGTCATTATGATTTTTGATTTTTTTGTTTTTGTAGTTGAAATTTTCTATATTATTAAGAATCTTGTAATGACAAAGTAATCAAAAGCATATAGTAATAGAAAATACACCACCACTATACAAAAACTTTCCTGTTTCTAATGAGCTATACATATTTAATTTCTCAAAATAACTAATATTGTGTTTTTACATGTGTACTTTGCTCTCTAATAATTTATGTGATAATTTTTAAATAATACAGCTTTTGTTTTTTATAGTTTTTTTGTGGTTTTTGTAGACACAAGAAATGTACATATTAAATATTTTAAGTATACCATAGTAAATATAATTTTTTTTTAGCGAAGTTTAATGTTTATGTATTTTCACAGAACAACAAGAAATATCCACAGCCATAAAGAGATGGCTCCTGTTACAAAACGCCACCAGCAAGTTACCTGTTATGGTGAAGTATGTTATTGATGTTGAAAGTATTATTCATTTTTGGCATTGAAGCATGTTTTTTGTCTACCGTAATTTAACTGTAGCATGTCTAGTGTGGAATATATTGGCTATGTTAATGCTAATATGTTGTAAACTTAAACCATGATGTATGTAAAATAATATAATGTTTCACTAATAACAGAAAAATGCTGAATTACAAAACGAAAATGTAGAAATATGGTTCAAAAATTACTAGAAGGTGTGTAATAATTTGAATTAATTAATTTATTGTTATATTTTAAAGAAATATGAATTTTAACTCTTTGACATTACGTGTACAACAACTTGAGGGAAACTAGGATATATGATAAAAAGTGTAGAGTAGGGAGGGTCTCTAGACTTAATATTTGTGATTTTAGTGGTTAGGGTTTGGATTAATACATAAAATATACTGAGATATTTGGAAAGAGCCATTTTTAACCCTTATGTTGATATAAAATATTGTTTGATGTTTAACTTATGTACATTTATTATGAAAGCAAAGCTTTGATCAGTGCCAAGTTCATAGCATCTGTGAAGTTATCAAAGAGGTATTGAAAATATTATTATGCTTCACACTAAAGTACCCCACAGTAGCACAGTGATATGTCTGTGGACTTACAACGCCAGAATCTGGGTTTCAATACCCGTAGTGAGCAGAGCACAGATAGCTCATTGTGTAGCTTTGTGCTTAACTTCAAACAAACAAACAAACACTCTAATGTTGTGGTATTCAAGTTCACTGATAACTGATAATTAAATTCAAAAGTATCCACAAAATGCTGAAAATGTTAGGCAGAGAATCCCACAGTGAGCAAGGAAAAGAAACATGCAAACATAAGTGAACAAAGAACAAATTTTTTTATTCAATGAAAAATTGTGTTATAAAGTATTTCACTTACTAGCTGGTCTACAGTTATTTGTTGTGACTTTAATTGGCTACTGTGGTTGAAAGGAGGCTTTTATAAAACACATGTACACAGGAAAAGACAAAAATAATTCTGATTTACCACCAAAATTCAGGAAAAATGTTAAAAGTGTTATATCCCATAATTGAACACTGTATACGTCACCAACTATTCCAAATAACAATTATAGAGATAACCCCTTATTCATATGAATTTGTACAAGTATCTGTACCACCCTTTGAGTTAGCTTTTCCTACCCAGAGTGGTCAGACACAGAATCTAAGTAATAACAACTTTTAGCTGTTTGCATATGCAACTTTACTTGAATAAAAGAATTTGTACATAGTTTCTGACCTTTCAACATTTGTTTAAACAAGAATTCATTATTACATGGAGAACAATTGCATGAAAATTTAGAAACATTTATCTGAATATATCTGATGAAAGATGTATTCTAAACTTGTCATAGAAAGTTGAAGTTCATAACTATTTCAGGCCATTTATAATGTCAAGTGTTTTATTGTACAACTTTTGGCTACTGGATTTAGTGAAACCAAAACCTAATGAGCTGCTACTACAGGCATTAAAGGGTTAAATACTAATATTAATATTTTGATAATGAATTTAATTTAAATAACAGTATTGTTCTTCTCCAGTGTTTTTATGATCATAGCATTCCAATTTTCTCTGTTCCTGGTGCTCTTCAACAATTCTGAATTGTTTTTCATGGTTCCTAACCATTTTGTGAGCTTATCAAGCATCTTTGTTTTATCATTTAAGAACTTTTGGGTCATAATGTTTTTGGCAAATACAACAGTGGTTTTTCATTGCTTTCTGTTAGATTTATTTAAGGTTTACTCCTTTGACTAAAAGGCCTGATCCACAAGGCAATGGAGGTTTCACCATCTTCATTAGCCATGACATTTTCAAGGTGACATAAGATGGCTTTCATGTTTATTGTAATAGCCCAGTGAGGTAACCCACAACCTTACTTCTATACTCATCATGTTTTCTGTCTCCCATGATGTGGATGTGGAGTCTAGTTTTAAATAAAAGTACACACTACAAAAATGGGATTATATGTCATACTGTGTTGTAGTACTGTAATTGTGCTAAACTTGGAAGTAGAAGATTAAATGTGCTTGCATGAGGTAAACATTATTTGGTATGGTATCTAATGTACTGCTTTTTTAATATGTTTTTTTGAATTGCAATTTTGTCTGTCTGTCTTTTTTTATTGATGCTGATTGTTATGCCTCTTCATGACTAGTGTGAATTACTGAATGTTTTTCAGATTGGTGTTGTTTGTTTTACTTCTTGACTAGTGTGAATTACTGAATGTTTTTCAGATTGATGCTGTTTGTTGTGCTTCTTCCTGACTGGTGTGAATTACTGAACTTTTTCAGATTGGTGTTGTTTGTTTTACTTCTTGACTAGTGTGAATTACTGAATGTTTTTCAGATTGATGCTGTTTGTTGTGCTTCTTTCTGACTGGTGTGAATTACTGAACTTTTTCAGATTGATGCTCTTTGTTGTGCTTCTTCCTGACTGGTGTGAATTACTGAACTTTTTCAGATTGGTGCTGTTTGTTGTGCTTCTTCCTGACTGATGTGAATTACTGAATTATTTCAGATTGATGCACTTTGCTACTCTATTTCATAACTTGCATACTACTTTTTAAGTAAACTGTTATATTTTTGAATGTGCTTCTAAAAGCTCTTATGTATTTGGCCAGGTATTTAAGTTTCTGTCCCTGTTATTTCAGACTTGCTGTGAAATACTTGTTAAACAACTAAGATTTCTTAATGTCACTTTTGAATATATTACTACCAAGCCACTGAAATTTGGTTCCATTTGTTTAATATCTTATTACAGCATATATGCCTTGTGGCAGACAATTTAGAAATAAAATGGTCCTAATTAAAAATACTCACTTCTGCAACAATGAACCTATGTGATTAAACTTATTAAATAGTATGAAAGATCACTTGTCTGGTTTTGCATCAAAAAAAAGGGAACAGTGATGTTCTACTGAACTTTTTCAGATTGATGCTGAAGAAAATAGATTATCATAAACAAAATTTCAGACATTCTGTTACCATGTGTGTATACAGCTTTTATCATCCATCAGAGTTGGAAACTTTACTATCAAATTACCATTTATAAGAGGAAAAATTAAATTAATGGCAAGCAGCAAAGACATACTTGCCCTCCACTAACATGAGGTAAAAATGGGCAATTCTCACCTGAATCGCATGTTAATGAGAAGCAAGAAACTGATTCCTGATAAAATATACACAAGCCAAATGTAGAAACAAGGGATTTAATATCAAATTGTAAAATGTTTTCCACACATTTGTTATCTAATTTACCAAAGGAGCTCCCTATTATCAGACCTGATCAGAAAAATAAAAGACAAGTTTACATCATAGTAGCATCACAGTCATGTTTTAAGAGAGAAGTGATTTATGGAAGAATATGAATCTTTATCAGATAAATAGATAAAAAATAGTCCACATTGTTTCATGTGAAAACAGACAATTCTTCAATAAAATGTAAAAAATGCCATAGTAGAAGCTTGTTAATCTTTTATGCTATGGATAAAAAAAAATCAAGGAAAAACTTTGATTTTCCATTGTTATCCATACTGTATATCCAATTGGAAGTATATCTTACTTTTGGTTGTGGTGTGCAGACAATTGGAATGAGTATTGATGTTATGATTGAAGGAATAAATATTCTTGGATAAGATTAGGGAAAAGCAGCCTGAGTCTAATTTAAGAGGGAAAAAAAACATTCAGTTCAGTCTGACTATTCAAAATCATTTATTTATGTGTTTTTTTTACCAACAAACTTAATTTTTCAACAATATAGATAAAACTTTTCAGGCATTACAATGTAAAATGAATACAAGAAGTACCTTTTATTAAAGCCTAGTCATCACAAAATGCTGATTCTGTATATTACATCTAGACAAATTGAACTCCTACAAATCTAATTAATAATGAATTCATAATTTATTCTAGAGAAGTAATGCAGTAGAATCAATTTGTTGCTTTGTGCAGTATTGCCCCCCCCCCCTCGTGGTTCAGTGGTAAATCTGCGGGCTCACACTGCTAAAAACCAGGTTTTGATACTTGTGTAGCTATGCGCTTAACAACAAACAAACGATTATCTCCATAATGTTTATCACCCTAGTATGTTTGAGTTCCATCCACTCTGTTGATTCAAGAATTTTTTCATAACATCATAAACATTAAAGACAAAACATTATCATCCTAGAAATTTAAATTTTTCCCATTCACAGACTCTTTTGTTTCGATTTTAATGATAACATTTTGTTTTGTTAACTAGGTTAAAAGCCAAAAAAAAGATTTATTAGTTGAAATTAGTGGCTATTCTTTTCTACATGAAGACTCAAAAATGCAATAAGTTTGTAAAGTTTCTACCTTTATATGAAAAGATTTATCTTAAATTTATGTGTAAGGGTTCCAATAATATAATGAACATAATAGTGCTCCTGTAACAAGGTAAATAGTAGGATCTTAACATGAATATGTTTTGTTAGAGAATTACTTTCTTTAATAAAATCTACTTTAATATATCAGTATGAAAAAGAGACAGTAGAACCTTGAAACCACAGAATGAAAATTATCCTACTTAAACAAATCTGCATGGAAAGAAGTTGATTTCATCTCCATAATAAAATAACACACCACTAACATATAGATTGGAATGACTTCCTTCAGTGAGTCACTGAAACTTGCCAGATGGGATGGTTTTAGGTATCAGAAATTAATCACTTATACCAATCTATTAAATACAAAAAATACAATTTTACTAAAGAGCATTTTTCTGGTAACCATTACGACCTTCCTGATTTATCTGTTCTAATTTTGATGATCATGGAAATTTAAAATAAATGAATCTGGGATAGGAAGATTACAATGATGATAAGAGAGAAAAGACATGGATTATCAGGGGTAAACTACTATATTATATGATTACCAGAAGCTAATAGTAATCAAATTCTGAGCTAACAAGTGAATTGGGATAGTATGAAAGTGGTAATCTGTTTATGTTAGTTGACAGGTTTGGTGAACAAAGTAGCAAATATGTATATTTAAATATATCATTATTTTCCTCCATATATATCTCTTCAGAAACAGCAAGTAGTTTTTTTGGTTTCATCAGATGAGAATTGTTTTTATGTTAATTCAAAAATTTAATCATATTTTCTGTCCATTTTCGTTTTTTTTATCTACTATAATCACATGTCTGCCTCTCTTGCTATCCAATTGATAGTGCAATGTTGAAAGTTTAACAAATATATATATATATGTGTGTGTATAGAGAGAGAGAAAGTTTTTTCTAACAACCTTCAGGATAATTTTGGAAATTTTTTTGAGACTTCCATATGATTTATTTATGATCTTTGAAAGCACTTTCACTACATTTACTGTAGGTAACCTATATTGTTGTATATGATTTATACAAAATAAAATAAGACATCTCAATTTGCAGAACTGATTTTACAGGTTATTTGGCTTCTTTCAGAATGGTACAGGAGATGCTAATGATGTATGGAAAGTTGAAGTGGTA